GCATAGAGGAAGACAGAGGCAGGAGCAGGGAAGGCCCCTGAGAAGTGTCACCTTAACCTACAGGATGAAAGATCTCCAAATGAAGAGGCAAGAAAGAGCAGGCCCAGAGCTGCTGTTAATACAGGGAAGTATCATGGGTTACTTTTCCTTCTGGGAAAGGGCATCACAGTGGTTAATAGTATAGACAAAATTGCAAAGGCAGTTGATTAACACACATGATTGTCTATCGATTGTAAGTCATCTTAATTGGCCATAAACTAAACAGTGACCTCAGACAAGTTCCTTTGTGTAGTTGAGCTTCCTTTTTCTTTTATCTGTGACATTCCAAAACTGAACATAATGATTTTCTGAGGATACTTCCAGCTTTGAACTGTATGAACATAGAAACTAGGTATTTGGCTCTCCTAGTGGTCATGGAAAAGATGGAAGGACGGGAGGTAGGGAAGGGGCAGCTAAAGAATAGCAAAAGAAACACATGTATGATCTGATGAGAGGGAAGATGAAAGGGTATTTGGTTTCTTAGGAAATGTACTTCATTAAACATCACAGACCCTCTTTTAGGGTAATCTTGGGAAGTCATTTGTCATCCCAGCCTAGCCCCTCCTCCCTTGGACCCTGTAGTGATGACCCCTTGCCCTCACTCCCATCCCCTACCCTGGACTGAACAGGCCCTTGGGCAAGTATCAACTGTTTGGGATTGCATCATTTGTATCCTTTTAACCTTCATTCCACATCCAGAAAGAATCCAGGCTTCTTTGTGGGCTTTTGTTAGTTTGGTATTGCTGATTTTTTTAAAATTATGTGTACATGATGTCTTCCTGCTTGTCTGTGTGTACACAATATGCATGCAGAGTTCAGAGCCTGCAGAAGCCAGAAGAGTGTCAGATGCCCTGGAACTGGAGTTATAAGTGGTTCTGAATGGTCATGTGGGTGCTGGGAAGCTGGGCACCAAACATGGTTCCTCTGCAAGAGCAGTAAGTGCTCTTAACCACTGAGCCATAATCTTCAGCTCTGTTACTTGTTTTTAAATAGAAAATTAACTGGCATGGTGCAACATGCTTTTAATCCCAGAACTGAGAAGCATTGAAGTCAGGGGCTGGCTTTAGCTACAGAGTAATCCACAGATGAACCAATTTCGGTATTTCCTCTCCCTTCCCCTCCCCTCCCCCTTAATTAGCAGTGAGAAAATATAATCCCAAACATCTGTGTGCCTTTCAATACAAAGAACTAAAAAGCACTATATAGTTATTATTTGCTATAAATGTTTTCAGTTTGAAAGAATATGTGGGTTGAGGATATAACTCAGGTGATAAAATACAACTGGGGCCCTCACATTTGTAGCTAGTAGCTTCAGAAATGCTATGTGAGTGCCTGTTCCTCACCCAGTATTCCTTTCTCAGTCCATGGCACTGCTGTCTGCCCAGCCTTTAACACAATTCTTAACTTGTCCACCATTGAGCTCTGTTGATTCTCCCCTAAACAGATCCCAAATCCTTTACTGCCTACATTCTAGTTTTTTCTTGACTTCTTCCTGCTCTGTTTTTGTACTCCCATCCCCAGCTTTACTAGCAGCACAGGATGCCCCAGCATTAGAGTCACCTTTGAGCTGGTCTGCCAGCTGGTACCCCTAGGATATTGTTGTTGACTTTGGAATATATCTCACTACAGGAACACTATGTTCAGAAGTTAGAATCTTTTTTGTGTAGTGTGTTACGTTTGATAATATACTTAAGCTCCTTTGTTCCCATTTGAATACATTATAATGTCTTAGTTTTGTTACTTTTGTTTTATTTTTAGTTATGTTAACATTTACATGATTCATTAGATACAATTATAGTTCAAGAAGTGTTCAGCAAGGGTTCTTTCCTTGTTCTTACCTACCCTAAGCTGTCTGCAATCCTGCACACCAGATCCATATGATAAATATGCCTGCAGGTTTTTTTTACTTCAAAAAAGTCATGTAACTCATCCTTCCCTAGCCTTCCAGCATGAAAGCATCTCATAATTTATTCATCAAGTCTCCTTCACGGTGAGGACTGGAAAGGCCTGCAGACTTAGGTGGTGAAAATAGTTTTAGTGAAAATTGTCATGCCTGTGTTGTTAGGCATTTCCAGAGGTATCTCCTCAGGGTAGATTTCTAGGTGTTCCTTTGCTCACATGGCTTGTATTTGACCTTGTGGTGGTTAACATAATTCAGAATACAAATGAGAATTCCAATGAAGCCAGTTTGTCCTGTTTTCTCAAACTCAAAAACTGTTTAGAATCAGGGGAGCAACCCTGGTGTTTAAAAGAGCCCTGTGGAATTGCATGCAAGTGATAAGTAACTGCTGTATACCACTTTGGCCTTTTTCTTGCCAGCTCTGCTGGTGAGTATCCCTTCATTCCTCTGTCACTTAGAGGTTCCTTATTAAACCAGTCCTGAAGATTGAACTGTGAGCAGACCACAATGCTTCCAGATGTACCTCACAGCCCATGATCTTACTTTCCAATTCTCCTACTCTTAGACCAATAGGCAACTGCTACTTCTTTCCAAACCTTCCTTAGTCTAACCTATAGCTCAGAGGTGCAAACAGTGCAATGTGGTCAGTCAGATTCTGTAGTAATAGGGATACTCACTGTGTCTCCCTATAGTGGTCACTACAGCATCAGAGACAGTCTTTGAACCCTGTACATGAAGGAAAAACCAAAACCTGTAGGAGCTGCCTCTGTCCACAAGAAAGAATAGGCAGGTCTTGGAATGTGGCAATTGCTACATTCCATACAGTATTCTATTATTAACACCTTTCTCTTTCTGTTTCCTCTGTTTCTGCTGGGGGTAAGGTGATTGATTGATTGCTTGCTTGCTTGCTTGCTTGCTTGCTTGCTTGCTTTGGTAAGGAATATCTTGTAAAGACCCGTGTGACCCAGAATCCCCTTTTTTTCTCATACTGGAACCTTAGGCAACAGTTGCTGTTTGTCTGAATAGCAATAGTTATACAGTGCCTTGGGACCTCTTTGTCCATAATTCTCACAGAAAGAATGGCTCTAGGATGAGATTAGCATTAGCTACCATTGAGATGAGGAAACTGGTCTAGACTGCTGAAATCACTTACTGGGGTCCTTGTTTTAAGAAATGGCAAAGTCATGAAGCCAAAGCAATGGCGCAGAAGTTAAGAACACTGCTGCTCTTCCCAAGGACCTAGATTCAATTCCCAGCACCCATATGGTAGATCACAACAATCTGTAACTTTAGTCCCAAGGGACCTAATTCTCTCTTCTGGCCTACACAAGACATTAGGAACTCATGTGGTATACAGACATACATGCAAACAAAATACATAAAATAAATAAAAGAAAATGACACAGTCAGAATTGGAGCTCAGGTTGGCCAAATCCAGTTTTGTATGTCCTTTTCATGACTGTGCTGTATACCACCTTCAAGGAGGTTTGTGCTCCTAAAACAAATTGTGGTAGGCAGTTCCCTTTCCAGCAGTGGAGAGCCTTTTGCCATGTGACAAGACGGGGGGGGGGGGGGGGGGGGGGGAGAGAAAGAGAGAGAGAGAGAGAGAGAGAGAGAGAGAGAGAGAGAGAGAGAGAGTGCTGGAGAATCTGGATAAAGAAAAACATGCCACTTTCACAGAACTAGAACTAGGGTTTGGATTAGTATGATAAAATCAAGTGCATTTGACCAACATCACTAGCAACCCAAAGCCAGTAAAGAAATCTTTGGGCCTCAGCTTGGCCCAAGGGTACATTGTCCCAGGGAAGTTACCAAAATCTGAGTATGCAGCAGCCATGGGTCTCATGTATGGTGCCCGAGCTTGCCTGTGCTCACTACTATTCATGCATATGTTCTCTGTGATACTTACATATTTGTTTAATACTTCAGGGAGGAAAAGTCAGAAGACCAGGATCTTCAGGGCCTCAAAGACAAGCCCCTGAAGTTTAAGAAGGTGAAGAAAGACAAGAAGGAAGACAAAGAGGGCAAACATGAGCCACTACAACCTTCAGCCCACCATTCTGCTGAGCCGGCAGAGGCAGGCAAAGCAGAGACATCAGAAAGCTCGGGCTCTGCCCCAGCAGTACCAGAAGCTTCTGCTTCTCCCAAACAGCGGCGTTCCATCATTCGTGACCGGGGCCCCATGTATGATGACCCCACCTTGCCTGAAGGTTGGACACGAAAGCTTAAGCAAAGGAAGTCTGGCCGCTCTGCTGGAAAGTATGATGTATATTTGATCAAGTAAGTAAGAGCAAATCTTGTGTCTATAGATCAGGAAAGACTATATAGTGGAGGGCTAGATACAAGGACCCATTGAAACTACAGCTCTGTGGAATCTACCACCTGTAGGACACAATGCCTTGGTTCAGATGCAGAAATATTTTGATGATGGATTGATTAGGTCTGAGCACCAACCAACAGTCAGCTCAGCCCAATGGTCCCTTAGTACCAGGCCTGATCCCCTTGGTTTCTGGATTGTGGAGAAGCCAAAGAATACAGAGGAGGGGACTTAGAGGTAGAGAGGTCCTCTGAGGCTTTCAGGCCCAGCTGTACCGGCTCCTGAGCAAGCTGTATAGTTACCCACTGCCCCTGGTAACATCAGTTTCTACCCATGCTTCTGGCCTGGCTGTGCCTTCCAGGTTTAGGTCATCTCATTTCTTCTTCAGTTTGATCTTTGATCACTTACAATGTCTTATAAGAAAGCTTGTCAGTACCATCTCCTCTACCTCAGTCTCTAAGTTGTCATAAAAAAAAAAACTTCTGACTATTCTTTGTGTCTCTCCATTTGTCTCCACAGTCCCCAGGGAAAAGCCTTTCGGTCTAAAGTGGAATTGATTGCATACTTTGAAAAGGTAGGCGACACCTCTTTGGACCCTAATGATTTTGACTTCACGGTAACTGGGAGAGGGAGCCCCTCCCGGAGAGAGCAGAAACCACCTAAGAAGCCCAAATCACCCAAAGCTCCAGGAACTGGCAGGGGTCGGGGACGCCCCAAAGGGAGTGGCACTGGAAGACCCAAGGCAGCATCATAAGAAGGTGTTCAGGTGAAAAGGGTCCTGGAGAAGAGCCCTGGGAAACTTCTCGTCAAGATGCCTTTCCAAGGAAGGCATGGGGGCAAGAATGAGGGAGGTGGGGCTACCACTTCTGCCCAGGTCATGGTGATCAAACGCCCTGGCAGAAAGAGAAAAGCTGAAGCTGACCCCCAGGCCATTCCTAAGAAACCGGGCAGAAAGCCTGGGAGTGTGGTGGCAGCTGCTGCTGCAGAAGCCAAAAAGAAAGCCGGG